GACACTATGGAACCTGTTCGCGTACTCGACCATGCTCTTGGAAGCGTCCGTACCTGCGTGTACAATCGAATCGCCATTGAGTCGAGATGAATTGAATCAGTGACAGCAGAAAGGGAATGTGTGACTTTGATGGCACTTTGGCCGAAATCGAGCTCACAAATGAATCCTTGCTCTAGCGTCAAACCAATATTCGAAGGAATAAAGGATATACGAGCCAAGACAGGAGGTCTTAGTGTCTAAATGACTTTAACTTTGAAATTTATTGCGACAAATTTACCTCAGCTAGGGTTTGAACCTGGAGACGCCCGCCTAGTGAAAGGGAGGTCCAAGTTCCAACCCTGGCTGAGGTAAATTTTTCGCAATAAATTTAAAAATTGAAATCATTTAGACATTAATATTCTGTCTTGGCTCTCATATGCTTTATTCCTTCGAATTGTGATTTCACGTTAGAGTCTTGCGTATTTTATTGTTCAAACCAAAATGTTTAAAAACACTTTTCTTAATGAAAACTTTCTAGTGGTTTTACCGAGGCCACCAAGAGCTGCTCTCTAAAAATAAATCAGTGCATTATAGTGAATCACAGCGAGTATTCACCGTTTTCAGTGATAATCCACTGATTGACCTTTAGAGAGTACCTTTTGAACTTTCCGTCGTCATTTTGAACCTTTTGCTATTGCGAGACACATAATCGAACATTTGCTGTTATCTTTAAAAGTTATTCATAATTAATAACAGTAAATTAACACAAAATATAATTTTAAAGAGACACATTTATTATTCTCTAAAAGTCAATCAGTGATAATCCACTGATTGACTTTTAGAGAATAATAAATGTGTCCTAAAATGATTATCACTGATTGACTTTTAGAGAATAATAAATGTGTCTCTTTAAAAATATATATTTTTCTTATACTGATTGTGAGCTGCAAAGAGTCAAGAGACACCTTCTCTCTTCAGGACGAAGTGGCATAAAATGTACTGAAGAAGATTCATGTTTTATTTATAAAAAGTTTCTGTTAATTTTCTCAATTATACTATTGTGTCACTTCTTCCAAATCGATTCAATTAATGGATTTCGTTACAATCTGTCGTTCTGTTTCACCTGTCATCACCGCATCTCGCTTAAGAGCCGGTAGAAGAATGTCCTTTGTTATCTCGCCTGTGCCAGCACCGATGCTTATGCACCTCCCGGACATGTTCTCCAGCTCGCACTCGAACTCATCGACGAAATACCCCACGTTGTGCCTCTGTACATTGTCGGGCAAAACGGATGAACTCGCCATGGCTTTAACGAGCCAGAGGATGTACAGGAGAAACACATCCGGCAAGAGAAGTCGCGAGGAGACTTACAGCGCGAGGGTACTCGAAGAAGATCGCTATACGTACAACGATGTAATGAAGAAGTTGGGAAAGGCAGCAACTTATTTTGAGTGGGTACTCTAGTCCCCACTCTCAACCGGTTGAATTGAACCTCCTCGTCCAGATATTTAATCATGAATGGAGAGTGGGAACCAGAGTACCCGCCCAAAAGTTTTACTTTCACGGAAACACGCAGTCTTACGTCAAATCCCGCAATAGCCTGATATATTTAACCCGACTCAAGTTTTGTAGGCGATTAACATATTGTTTGTTTCCTCTGATACGAATGTTGAAAAATATCCCAGACAACACGGTTCAAGTTTCTCTTATCTAAATTGCACTTTGTAGGCACCTATATAAGAAGAATACGATAAAAATGATTGTGGAAATTACACGAACTGTAAGCAATTTCTAAGGAATACTTGAAGGCGAACTGATTGAAGCTGACTCTTTAAGAACTTCTCCCGATGTTTTCTAATTCCATGGATATTCTCTTAAAAAAATGAATTATCTTACTGAACTTAGGTTGATCTTTGTGCTATCTGGAATTCCATTAATTATCAATAGACACCCAGTGAGAAATGATTCGTCGATCGACGTCGAAATGATGTCGAATCGACGAATCATTTCTCACTGGGCAGTGTTGAACTTTTAAGAAACATCATCATTAACATAATTAGTAAAATGATGTACGGAAATGAGCTATATTTCCTGATAAGAAAGAAAAATTGTGTGGGGCAAGAGAGAAGATTAGACTTCTTTCGTAAAAACGTTCTGTAGTCCACTCTCTAAAGACTTACATTCTCAGAAAGAATTTTTATTACTGATACAAAAAATATCCTTGACGCATTTAAATATATCTCACAACCTCATTTAGTATAAAAATAAGACAATTTAAAATTTTAATTCAATAATCCTGATTCTCCTCTATCAAATTAAAAAAGGTCGACTTACTATATTAAGACAAGAGTAACTTGTATAAATCAGGGTTGGAAAGTAACTCGTTAGTTTATATATTCTGGGATTTTGAATAAATTTTCCCTCCATCTTACAACGTACGAAGTTGGCATCACGATATTAGACGAAAGACGATACATACATACTATCATTTTATTCTAGATTTTCGAATTTTTCATTTAAGGTGGCTCCTGCACGAAGGAGCGGTTATTATGGGTGCTTCTGGTGGGGCCCCTTTGATTTATAAAGTCATATGAATTTACCTTATACATCAGCACAACCCCAGGTAGCACATTGTCGCCTATTAGACGTCGTCTTTTTTACGTACATTTTCGTCAGCACTCAAACTGATATAGTCAGTATGACGCCTAAATGACCTTACACTGACGGCAATTTGTCATAGCAAAATGACGTCATCGAATGACGTCAAACTTGCGTCAATATATGACGTAACGTTTCTCAAAAAATGAAAGCAACTATAAAGTAAAGTTTAGTATGAACATTAATATAACACCATAACAACGTTAATTCGAATACTTATTCATTTCGCGACTGTGTTGCGAATAACCGCGGTCGCCCATTCAAGTTTTAACCATTACTCAACGTTGCTTGACCCCGATGACGGTCTAGCGATGATCCTCTGGTTCTAAAGGCCATTCTGCAATTGCGTAAACGTGGTTGTTAGCGGTTGTACAGTGTTGCAAAACAGCTTTTAAACTAGCAGTTCCGCTTGTAAAACAGTTCCTGTTGTAAAAGATGGCTGAACTTGATCTTTCACGACTACAACGATGTAGGACGTAAAAGCAAACCAATCATTCACTTCAATTACGACGTATCTTACTCTATTGTATATTACTTTGATGTACAACACCTACTACTATTTCTACTCCTACAACCCTACAACTACGTTTACGCAATTGTAGAATGGCCTTTAACGCTTCCTTCCCAGATAGCACACTGCATGAATTCACAAAGTATTCTTTAAGTTTTCATTTTTCTGAATTGTAATTCTTTAGGAATTCATAGAAGAATACAATAAGAGTGACAGAGGAAGTTACATGCACCATAAATCGTTTTCCTGACAACTTCTTAAAGTATTCATCTCGAATTCAATAAATGTGAATTTTATGAATTCAAGGGGAATAGTGTTAGAACAAAGAGGATTACAAAATATTTACCCAATGTATGTACACATCTAATATGCAGTAAACACCATTTTATAATTACACCATTACGTCAAATACATGTTATATAAAAGACATATGACGTCTTGGACGAAATATAACGTAAAATAGAGGACAATAAGACCATGTGTGCTACCTGGGACATATAATTGCTCATTTGATGGGTTCTCCTTTTCTTAAAGACTATGTCCACGACGCTAGAACTTGGTCCAAGCTCTCGCATCGTGAACGCAGGCCTTTTACTTCCTCTAGTTCTATAATGGTCGTATAAATTAATATTCAACAAATAGCGTACATTAAAGAATTTTGTTTTTCAGAGGATCAAACTTGGAAATGTAAGAAACCGGTCGGCAGACAAGGGCAATAAATTCGCGACCGACACACGATATACATATGCATCCATCTCTCATGGTCAAAGACTGGTCCACGAAATAAAATTCACCTTGTATATCCTCACGCTAAATAACCTAACGGTTGACGCCGGCGTTCCCGCGGAGGGAAAAATTCAAAAAAAAAAAGAAAAACCCTGTATATCCCTCGGAGAGTCAAAATGCTTCCCGGGTTCCGACGTCGGCCGAGGGAGGGCGGTTTCGTCGGAATTCAGTCATAGACATAGTATACTGCGCGTTCCCTACTTTACTCGCGTAAAAACATATGTATGTACCAACTTTAAACATGGCGAACCAATCGGACGCTGTATACCGCGGGTATACGAATTCCAGACTCTGATCAGAGGGTCTCTGGAATTCAGCCGCTCCGGTCGCTCCGAAAAATCGCCGAGTTTTCGCCTCGCCAGGAATCCCCGTATCTCGCGCCGAGTATTCGCCCCGATATCCACCCGAGCGCGAGCGACGCACGACGACAATCCCGCGGAGTTAGGGCGATTTTGAATCCAGAGATGACGCGACGATGCCTTATCTCTTTCACGCGCGAGAGCCCGTCGCTCCGCCACGATGAGCAGCCCACTTCTTTTTTTTTCTTTCTTTCTACCGATTAATACCATTTGTTCCTCTGGAAGTGCAGGGTCGCGCTCATCCCCCTCACCCCCTCCCTGCCCTTCTCTCCGGAGCTGTTTCGTTATCGCGGACTGCTCGCGAGGAGTATCGCGCCGTAATTAATCGACGAGTATCCCGCCGCGGGTGGACCGATTAAATCCGCCACGCCGTCGCCGGATGCGGAACAGCTGACTCGCGCCGAGCGGTGCGCGCGGTGCGCGCGGCGGAGTACCGTTCGCTCGCGATTACGCGCGAAAAGAGCGCGCGTCGGCTCGCCCGCCGAGCGGCGCGGGATGGAATTTGCAAGTCATTCGAGTCATCTACGGTCACGATTGCTGTTTCACGGTCGGTCCGTCCTGCGCGCGGAGCGGACGGGGACGCGCGCTCGCGCGGGATCCCTCCCTCGAATTGTTACACCTGGGCCGGGATGGGGAGGACGAACGTGCCGTCGCCGTCGCTGACGTTCCTGTGAAATCGAGACGGTGACCGCCCCGGGGGAGCAAAGCCTCGGAGATGCCAAGGCCGAGGTATACTCGCGTCTCGGACGCCGCGCTCGCTCGCGACCCCGCGAGGGGTACGGCCGGGAGGAGACGCGTATTTTTCCGTAGGGAGAAACGGGAGAGGAAGAACGTTCCTCTTACTCGCGACTCTCCCTCGCCGCGGAGAGCGTTAAGTTGTAAAATCTACGGCCGGAACGGGAGATCCCGCGCCCGTCGTGCACGCCAGACGTACCGACGGGAGATACGGCTCGCCCGAGAGTCTCGCGGACGCGAAAGAGACACGGGGCGATCGGTTCTTCAATTCGTTCGAGGGAGAGACGTGTGCGCGTATTGCGTTTCTCGCGGAAAAGTTGCGAGTCGATCGGCCACACGTACGGCTTTTGGCCGCTCGACTTTCAACCCTTCTGCGAGAGCAGAATCTTCGCGTACGCTTCTCCTTCGAATGAATTCGAGGGTCTTCCCGAGAGAGAGATAGAGAGAGAGAGAGAGAGAGACACGTTTTCGAAGTGAAATAAAAAAATTCGACGCTTCCGCGTTAATCCAAAGAGATCCATTCTTCAATATCTCCTATAAAGACGTTTCTATTATTAGCGTTGTGTAACGTTTAAATAACGGTTGAATTTACATATCGCTGTGCGTTCTCTGCTGTAGTTTCCAACTTCTCGTCTCGACCTTAAATTTTCCCCGACGATAGAAGTCTCTCTCCGTTTCGAGCTGGGAGTCAATTCTGCGTCTTCCCAGTGATTTAAACGATCATCTCGAAAAACAACCTTTTAAAAAAAAAAACTTGGAGCTGCTAAACCGCTGAAATATATAATATTCTCCGTCCACCCTGCAGTGATAAATGATTCGTCGAATCGACAGCACCGACATCGCCGAATTGACGTCGATTCGACATCGTTTCGACATCGATCGGCGAGTCATTTCTCGCCGGGCTACAATTACACGGTGAAAACGCTAAGAGTGTGAGCGGCTTTGTCTCTTTCCACGGGGACACGGCTCCATTCTACGCAGCGTTGTTTACGTTGTTTATATGATTCGGTGCCCAGTCGATCGGGACCGCGGTTTCCCTAATGAAGATTCCGCGTCGGGGAGATCCCGGCGGGGGGGGGGGGGCCCGCTCGAGATCCGCGCGTTCTTCTCGCGGCCGCGACTTCGCGGAGCGGAACGAGCTCGAGCGGGACCGGCGATCAGAGCCAGTCGCGCGTCCTCGCCGTATTTATTACCGAGTCACCGTCAGGGCCGCGCTGAATTGCCGAGTCGAGCGTCGGCCGGCCGCTATCAGCGGCGCGGACAAAGGTACACCGGCGGTATCTACGGTACAAATCGTGACGAAGCGATCTCGCGCTTTCGCGCCGCCGGCGACGGCGGCGCGGCGCGGCGGAGCGACGGGCGGAGCGGAGCGCGCGGAGCTACGGCCGCCGCGGCGTGTGACAGTCGCGTTCGACGGGAGAGAGAGAGAGAGAGAGAGAGAGTCTTGCCACCCGCGCCGCGCGGATCCGAGGCTCGTGCGGCCGGCCAGACACGTGCGTATGCAAATCGTGGCGACGCGAGTCCATTCCGCTCGGCCGCACGGCGACGCCTGGTGACGCCGCATCTATCGGTGGCCGCGGCGCGCGGAGGATGCCTGCGTCATCGTGTATCGTCGGCGAGATCGAAACATGATCGCGCCGCCTCACCGTCCGCCTCCGTCTCGCTTCCGCGCCCAGTGACTCTCCCCGACGCGAAGTAGAATTGCCCTGGCGAGAGGCTGGCAGGCTGGGTAAGTGCCATGCGTATGCTAGCGCGCGCGCGCGCGCGCGACGGCGACGGCGAGGGCGAATCTCGTCGCTGGAAACGTCCCGCGGTCACGTGCGACGCCTCCGCGACACCATGCGTGACTCGCGTCCCCGCGATTACGCCGTTGTTATTGTCGCGCGCCGCTCTCGCGCCCGCGCGGGTTTCCCCGGTGCGCGAGGACACGTCCCCCGGGGGACGAGCGACGACGGGCCGCCCCCCTCGCGATAATCCGAGTTCCGAGAAGGAAGGTCCGTCGGAGTGCGCGAGTGCGAACGCGCGCGCGCGCGAGAGAGAGAGAGCGCTTACTCGCCGCGCGATGACGCGAACGTATGTAAATATCTAAAGGCGCAATTCCCGCGCGTGTGCCCCGCTTTTGCAGCTCCACTTTAATGGATGGAGAGAAAGATTGCCGGCGGAAGAAAGAGGCTCGGGGCGACGCCGCTGCCCCGCTCGCGCCGCCCGAGGAGACGGACTGGCAGGGTATGCTCAACTCGGAGCGGCATCGGGGTGACCTCGGAGACATGACGTTCTGCATGGCCAACTACCTCAAGGAGGCCATGAAGATGATGTTCATGATGCGCAGCCATCACATGCTGACCGACGTGATACTGGAGGTCGGCAGCGAGGTGTTCCACGCGCACAAAGTTATTTTAGCAGCAGCTAGTCCCTACTTTAAGGTAAGCTCGACGCTTGTCCGCTTCGCCGAGGTGATCGCGCCCGAACGGGATCGACGGGGTTGTGTTGATCGGCCTTGAAATTTCCAGGCAATGTTCACTGGAGGACTGAAGGAGTGCGAGATGACGAGGGTGAAGCTCCAGGGCGTCTGTCCAAGCACGATGGCTCGGTTAATGTACTTCATGTATACTGGTCAAATAAATGTCACTGAGATTACCGTGTGTTCGCTGCTGTCGGCAGCTACCATGTTCCAAGTACGTAAACGACTTTGGGAGAAAAGTAACGTGTTTTGACAAACGTGTGTTCCGACGCAGGTCAGCAATGTGATAGAGGCGTGCAGTGTCTTCCTCGAGAGGCAACTCGACCCGACGAACGCGATTGGAATCGCCAACTTCGCCGAGCAGCACGCCTGCCAAGATCTGTACCACAAGGCGAATCAGTTCATCGTACAGCACTTCAACCAGATATGCCAGGAGGAGGAGTTCCTGCAGCTGTCCGCTCTGCAGTTGGTGACGCTCATACGGAAGGACGAGCTGAACGTGCAGGAGGAAAGGGAGGTTTACAACGCCGTGCTCAAGTGGGTCAAGTACAACGAGGAGGCGAGGCGGCCCAAGATGGAGCACATACTGCACGCGGTGCGCTGCCAGTACCTCACGCCGAATTTTCTGCGGGAGCAGATGAAGAACTGCGACGTGCTGAAGAAGGTGCCGGCGTGTCGCGAGTATCTCGCGCAGATCTTCAAGGATCTGACGTTGCACAAGAAGCCGGTTGTGAAGGAGCGCACGCCCAACACGCGGCGGGTGATATACATCGCCGGTGGTTTCTTCAAGCACTCGCTCGACGTTCTCGAGGGCTACAACGCCGACGACAAGACGTGGACGCAGCACGCCAAGCTCATCGTCCCCAGATCCGGTCTGGGCGGTGCGTTCCTCAAGGGCATGTTCTACGCGGTCGGCGGCAGGCACAATTCTCCGGGAAGCAGGTTAGCACTTGGACGTCAATCGTACTCGACGTTTCGGAGCTGCATATAGTAATACAGGGTGTTTGGAAACTCGCAAAAATTCCCAAGGAACTTTTTCTACCTGACAAAAATGACGGGATTCTAAGGGAGTTTCGTTGAACCTCGGGGACTTTTTTTTTTTGTTAAGATTGTGTCTCGCGAAAAGCAAAGTGCTAGATTTTGATGTCGAAGAGCGCCACGTAAGTTTCGCAATTTGTTTAGATATTTAGTTTCGTTTCTTTTAGTGAAATTTGCTTTATAATTTTCACGTGACATCACAACTGTGATTCTGTTTTCCTATTGTATTTTTTAGAAGCAGGAGATATTCCAAAGTTTTTGTAATAAATACTTCACACTATATTAAATATCAGGCAGTGTGAAAAATTGACAGACTGCTCTCCGCAAATAAAGCTCAAATTCAAGAAGTAGCTTTGAAACGTGTCTTAAAGAATCGCATGACTTTTCTTAGGTATGACAGCGACTGGGTCGACAGGTACAACCCCATGACGGATCAGTGGCGACCGTGCAGCCCGATGTCGGTACCGAGGAACAGGGTCGGGGTCGCCGTTATGGATGGTCTGTTGTACGCCGTGGGCGGCAACGCGGACGCTGAGTACCATAGTAGCGTCGAGTGCTTTGACCCGGATCAAGACACGTGGACCAGTGTGAAATGCATGCATATCAAGAGAATAGGCGTAGGAGTAGCGGTAGTGAATAGGTACCGCTCGCCAACCGACACTCATTAAACGATAAAGATGTTAATCAAGCAAGTGACTTATGAAAATAGATGACTTAATTGAAATTTCAAATTAAATAATATTTAGCTATGGCATCAGTAATTTGATTGTCGAGACAAACTAGAGTAATCTATCACGGAATATTAGTTCCTCTTAAATATTAATAGCAACTTTTCGTTTTAATTTTAAAACAATGGTTTCCACGTATTCGTTTAAAGAGCTGCGCGTAATATGTTAAATCTATTTGTAACAAGTGCGATCGTTCCTGGCAGATTGCTGTACGCGATCGGTGGCTTCGACGGCAAGGACCGGCTCTCTTCGGTGGAGTGTTACCATCCCGAGAACGACGAGTGGACGATGGTGTCGTCTATGACGTGCAGTCGCTCGGGCGCCGGGGTGGCCAGCCTGAGCCAGTATATATACGTTGTAGGCGGATACGACGGGAACTCGCAGTTGAACACGGTGGAAAGATACGACACGGAGCGCGACGTGTGGGAGAGCATGAGCAGCATTACTGTAGCCCGCAGTGCTCTCAGCGTTACCATCCTTGACGGCAAACTATACGCAATGGGTAAAGGATTTTTGTCCAAAAGAAAAAAAGTAAAGCTGTTTCTTTTTTAGAGAAGCATGGTGTAAAAATGACTTACACACGGCTCCTTTCTTTCTAGGTGGATACGACGGTACGACGTTTTCGAATATAGTAGAAATTTACGATCCGGTCCAGGACCAGTGGACCCAAGGTGTGCCTATGACATCGGGGAGATCCGGCCACGCTAGCGCGGTGTCCTATTATCAGTGTCCTATACACTGCGATCATTTGGATTATAATATCTCGCTGGAGAAACCGCCTTCGTGATACACGGAACTGATACTCTTTTTAGGCGACATTCGTAAGCAAGGATAGTCAAATTTTTTTTCATTCTCGAGCCGAAATGGAACCGCAAGATAGGGTGGTGTAAAGGTTCCTTAAAAGTGAACTGTGCGAGAGGGGTGACGAATGTACAGTTATCCTCCGATCGCGCCCGTGGACTGAATTGAAAAGTGTATTACGCAATACGTAGACGACAGGCGACGCGTCGTCTACCCGGACCACATTCGGTCGGCTAGAGATTCGCGGCTAGCCGACGGAAAACGCTTTCTCGACAAAGCGAGGTAACTTTGGTTATCTCGCGGTTTATCGAAGGACCAATTTATCTTATTCATTAGGATAAATGCGACTGTGCTACATTTTATAGCTTTATCGCTTATTAATGTATAGAGAAATAATATATAATGTACATATTCTCATATCGTAAGAAAATTATTTTCAAAGAAAATGCAAAGGTGTTTTTCTTGGTTCAACGTCTAGCTATCGTATAAATATTCAATCGCTGTTTTTCGTAACGTTGTTGCCATCGTCGTAACTTCTACCGATTCACCTTATTACAATTTTTTCATTTACGCACGTTAACAACGACCTGAACTTATCTAAATGCAATACTTTTGCGGAAAGTTTATGCGAGCGATGCTTGCGTGTTTAAAATGGACGTTTAGAGGCAAAGACACAGCGGACAAATTCCTGCGACGTTAAAGTAGTCGAATTTTTATAAAACAGACCCTGCGTTTCATGCGTCACTCTTCCATAGATATCTTTGTAATGAAATGGCACATACGGAATGCAACAAGTACGTCACGTGTCCCATGTGCAAAGGAGCAGGTAGGGATCAGCCGATTGCGAAATCTTTCAATGCGAGCGCCGATATTTATTTCCTGATAAAAACTATCTTGAAAAAAAAAAGGTAAGTCCACCACGCGCACGACGATGGAAATGGCTTGCTTATCTATTCAGCATGAGAATGCAAATTCACAAGTTGCAAAAACGCAATTTATCGAAGCAACATGTTCCGGAGCTTCAGGAGACCTGCGTTTTCCCACGTTATCCGACAGGTACGTCGTGCACGTGCAACTTCTTGACGCACTTTACTAAAATTTCAACGTTACCCGAATTAAAGACTCGGGCGAGTCATAAATAGACAATATATATATAAATGAATAACAAACGTTGAATATATTCATATACATTTAAACATGGATGTGATATTTTCGTGTAGCAAACTTCCGAAGGATGTTAATCCCGCGGCCAATTACGGGGACCATGCGTCTATCTTGGAGGGCGATTGCGCGGAAGCGCCAGAGGATCTCGCGAGTCCGCAGGAAACTTTGAAGCACGCCATGCAGATCTTGAGGCAGGAGCAGTGGCAGAGCAGCGTGTCGGCCCTAATAAAGCTAACGAACGTCTCGAGGATTCAACCGGAATTGCTGGACGCCAATATGCCTCGCATATACCGAGCCTTGTGCAGGTCACTCGAGCGTCTCCGCTCGCATCTCTTTAGACATACGTTCGCTCGCTGCGAAATGAAACGTCGTTATATTGCAGTTTGCTGCGAAACACGAGGCCGTACGTCGTTAGAACTGTCTGCCAGGTAGCGACGGAGTTGTACAGGACGGTCCAGTGTACGCAGAGGCCGGAATTCGACGAACTCGCGTCCGCGTTGCTCCTGAAGAGCACGCACACGAACAAGGGGATCCGGAGCGACGCTCAACGTGCCTTGGACTCCATGGTGACGCATCTGCCTCCCGCAACTTGTATTCGGATATTGACGAGCGAACACGGTGCTAGGTGAACGGACTTTACTTTGTCTTTAAGCCGACGATTACATTGTTACATAATCTGTTATGATTAATGATTTCTTGTCGTTACGAGTCAGCTTCGTATGTATTTTTGAACGCTGTGTTTCTATCTACAGCCACAAGAATCCGTTGATACGAGCGACCGTGAGCCGATTGCTCTATAATATTATTAATATCATTCGAGTGGAATGTTTATTGTCAAATCCAAATTTCAAAGATTCCCGCCGGAAGGTATTCACAATGTGCGCTAAATTTCTTCTCGATGGCAATAACGAAACGAGGTACTCTTCCCTTTATCGAGATTATGACAACAACTTATATACATCTTTTGTTCTTTCGAAATCATTTATTACGTTTTCGTAAAGAAAATAATTTCTTGATAAAGATGTTTGTCTTTGAGCAATAATACAAGTTGAAAATTTTCAAAACTAGCTTATAATAAATCGAGGATTCTCGCTTAAATAACAGGACAGACATGTGATGAACGTGAGTTTGTTAATTGTAGGAATGATGCAAAAAAGACATTAAAAGCGTTGATGGGCCATCCCGACTTCGATACCTTATTTTACCAGGATGTAGACTGGAAGATTATTAATAGTATTGAAAAGCAACTAGTGTCTCTGAAGTACAGTCAGATTCATAGCGTGTAACATCATTTGTTATCGTTATGTACGAAAAATGTGATGATATTGTGTGTCCAGTTTTTAAATACTGTCCAAATAATAAAACACATTGGTGACACTTACAACATTAAGTCAATTAGGAACATTATTTCTTTCATATTAATATAATTATTAATTTACTAATATTAAATGATAAATAACCAATTGAGCAATTGCTTAGAAAATGGAAGACAGAATTGATAATGCGTAATAAGAATCCGGTGAACGAATGAATGGAAATCGCAGTTCTCAGAATTTTAATGAGCTAGTGCCAACTCTTTCCTAATTATACTTTCTCGATACTTTGCTAAATTTGTTAAAAAATTGAAAATGAAATTTTTCCACAAAATTTCAGAATTATCCACGGTTGATAATGTTGCTGTTTACTTTACCGATTACTAAATTATCGACGTCGCTCAGCACAGCTGTAGTTACCGCCGTCGAGGAACTTTTTGCACATAAATGTAAATTCTGAAAAATCGGCAAAGAATCAGGAGAATATAATAAGGTAAGAGGTGGCACTGACCACATTGCTAAGAGTTCACTGTTACTACAAGAGTTGCTAAGAATTTAAATTCAAAATGCTCAAAGTGGAAAATGAAAACTAACATCTACGAATGCTTCAATAATTGTATGTTTTCGTTATACGCGCATATCGCTTGAATCACATTCCGCATACTTAGTGTATTCGAATTGTCACAAACGCTCCTTGCGGCAGATCGATGGTCCGCATCAGTCGCGTCAGCGACAATCAGCGTCTCCGTGTTTATGACACTTGGCGCGGAGGTTATACCGTAAATATGGCGCTCGCCATTACTTGAGACGCGAGACGCAACGTCAACGACGCGACATCGGGCGCCCCGGCTGTGTTCGACGACGTCGCGGTTCATCGTCGGCCCCCAGGCGGAGGGTCCAAAATGCCGTCAGGCCACTGCCGACCTCGCGCATCGTCCATGCCGCAGCTCCGTTCGGTTTGAGGTAGAACGCGACGCGATGAAGTCCGTATACAAGTTGTTCCTGCTGTGCCTTATCCTCGCCGCGCTGATAATACTGCTCAACGTGACCACTAACTTCTCCAACAAGCTGTACGACCAGCCGCCCGCGAGCAGGGAGCGCCTGGCGCTCGCGAGGAAGTCCCCGGGAGGCGCGTCCGTGGGCGAGGTGACGATATGCGTGGTGGTGTGCGGGGACAGGCTGTACGAGGCCCTGACCATGCTCAAGTCGGCGCTGGTCTTCGCCGGCAGGCCGCTGCAGTTCGTCATACTGGCGGAGCAGAATCTGATACCGGCCTTCAGCGAGAAGCTGTCGGAGTGGCGGCTGATATCCAATAAGACCTTCGACTTCCTGGTGCGGCCCATCACCTTCCCGGACGGCAGCGACGTGGCCATGTGGAAGAAGCTGTTCAAGCCCTGCGCGGCGCAACGGCTCTTCCTACCGGTAAGCGGAGGCCCAGCTTGACGATTCGGTTCGAGATGTTTGTTTGTTTGTTTGCGAGAGTTAGATTTACAGGATTTACGTTTACAGACCGTACTGAACGACACGGACGCGGTGCTCTACGTGGACACGGACACCCTGTTCCTGGCGCCGCCCGAGAGGGTCTGGGACGAGTTCAAGAAGATGAACTCCAGCCAGCTGGCGGCGCTCAGTCCAGAACACGAGGATCCCAACACCGGCTGGTACAATCGATTCGCCAAGCACCCGTATTACGGCAAGCTGGGCGTCAATTCCGGCGTGATGTTGATGAACCTGACGAGAATGCGGGAGTTCCACTGGACCGACTACGTGATCCCCATTCACAAGGAGTACAGACTGAAGATAACCTGGGGCGACCAGGACATCATCAACATAATATTCCACTATCATCCGGAGAAGCTGTACGTGTACTCGTGCCGGTACAACTACAGGCCGGACCATTGCATGTACATGTCGGTGTGCGCGGAGGCGGAGAGGGAGGGCGCTCTGGTGTTGCACGGCTCCCGCGGCACGTTCCACTCGCAGAAGCAGCCGCCCTTCAAGGCCGTGTACCGGGCCATGCAGGAGTACCAGCTCAACACGGACCCGTACGACGAGCTGCTCGTGCCGATGCGCAATTACCTGGCGATGGAGGACAAGTCCAACTGCGGCCGCGTCTCCAAGGTGTTCATCATCCAGCCGGAGCTGCATCTGGCTGCCCGAAACTTCTAAAACCTTTTACTCGAAATTACGGGCTCGCTTTTTCGTCCCTTATATCCTTTTATAAAACTTTTAGATGCTCGTTTCGTTCATCGATATGGTTGTATGCAGATATACATTGAAACGATAACGAATAGGGTGTAAGCATTCGCGAAGTCACTTTCGGCCGTAATATTATCTGCGTTCTTCCCGTCTCGGAATTCTCATGAGCGATTTTAGACCCTAAAATACTTAAATATTATACATAAATACTTATATAAATATATATATATACACTTATGTACATATCTTAACACATTATGGACTGGTATACTTAAAGAAACTAAAGCATAAGGAGCCAACGTGATGCGTACAAGCATCCTGCTTCGTTACATGTTTATGAGACTACGTTACTGTTGTTACGTAATGCATAAAAAGAAACGACGAGTACAAATTACACCGTTGTTCGATTGTCTACGTTCGCGGGCAACTGTACGAATTTGTGCGACCTGTCCACAATGTGTTAAGTCGAAGAGTCTAGACTCGAGATTCCGCGAGCGTTACGTCGCGCGCAAATTAGAGACTATAAACGTGTTAATTCCAAGCGATTCTATATAGACTGAACTTTTTCTATAGTGCATTTGAGTTTTTTTGTTGACAAGTGCGCTATGTTGTTACTGTTTGTGCGAGGTGCGGTGCGTTGTTATGCATTTTTTTTTATTCGATACCTTTGGACAATACTCGAGCGGTGCTGGGCGATCGGCGCTTATTTCTGGAGTACTCGGCCCTTGGACAAGATGTTATCTCTCGCGACACGTTGGATACACTCGACGAAAGATGCCACCATCTTTCTTGATGCTCGAGACTTCTTAGAGACTATGTTAATAATGATAGAATGGCCCTATTCTGTTTACACGGGCCCCACACGTGCAATCATTCGGAGATGAGCTTTGGTCGCGACTACTTTGAAAGTGACACGTCCGGCGAAAGTCTCTCTAAAATCGGAGAAGAAATCGGTCTCTTTTTATCTGTACGAAAAGATATATTGGCGTATACTTTTTTTTCCTCTCAAAATAAGTGTGTCTCGGTTTATCGAGACGGTAACTGATAATTGGTAGGTATGGGTATATGAATTTTAGCGTTATGTGATGTATAATGAATTGATATCCCGGCGAGAGTGTTCACGTTTTTACAATTTTTCTCATCGATCTTTTGTACGGTTTTGTACGATACGCATTTTGCATCGATACGATGCCATTTGTGATACTTTTCTTACAGGTATTGTACAATGAAGCTTGAATAAAAGCTCTGTCTAAGTACACGAGAGTTCGCCAATATGCATTTGATGCGCGCGATTAACGATAATTTACTTCGATAACAGCGTACTTTTACATACTAGCGCACTGCGACACGATGTACCAGGAAGCTTGGGCTACTTTTTATTTCGCTCGTGCAATTAAGTTGCTCATTAAAAACTCGTTAGAGCGAACGAACGTGCCGTGTATACCGGATCGATGGAAAGGATGGAGAATTTCTTCTCGGGTACACAATAGTTTTATTGGGGAAAATGATGAAGAAAAAAAAATTAATTTTTACTCCCTCAGGTGCGATCCTTTTCTTTTTCAGGCAAATTTTTTTCGCTGAAAGGACTCGCGATAGCGCGCGGTTCGCACCTCATTGTTAGCATTATGACGCAGCGACGAACAACCAGGCGGGCACGCTCCGAGGGGGGGTCGGCCGACGCGAGAAGGGGCCCAGCGCGATCAGTCCTCTCGCCGCTGCTTTCCGGTCACGGTGGCACGCGAGCTCGTGAAATCGGCCTCGCGCGATTTTCACCCGCTAGACACGTAATGTTCTCCCGAGGGAAGTGCCCTCCGTGTTAGGCTAATCGGAGGAAACAGGTGGAACCCGTTCGACTTCACTGTCCACCTCGGGGGGGAGGGCAGGGCAGGGTTCCCGGCGATATATATTTTTTTTTCCGGACGTGTGCCGTAGAGCTGCACAAATATGTGAGAAGGAGAACCTTAAGGTATACAAAGAATCGTACGCGAATCGCTCGTGCCTGAAAGGATGACTTTGTTCGAGGATCAAACGAACCGCGAGTATCCTCGAATGGCAGACGAGTCGAGGCGATCGTACAAGGTCGAGATTTTGTTTTCTTTGAAAGAAATGGCAAGAAAGTGCCCTTTTAATAACTGACTTGTTTCCGTGTCTCCAGAAAGGAGGATTTCGGAGTAGACTCCTCTCCGAAATAAATCAATTCGATTTAGGGCGACTTGGTGGAACGAATGAACTGGTCACAGCTGACAAGAGTGTACAGCCAGGCCGCGATCAAGTATTGCGGTTTCTTTTTATTTTAATTGCAAAGCTCGCCGTTCAGAACGCGATGTAAAAACGAGCGCGATGCGTTTAGCGCTAGGAGTCTCGCAGAAAGGCGCCGGTTATTTTTATTGCGTTTTCACGGGTAATATACTGGTGCCCGCTCGGCAACGTAGCTGAATGGCGAGTGCGAAGGAGGGAATTCGCTTTTCACGCGCTACTAAGCACGTTTCGTGTCAGGAAGGCCCGTTCGTCGATATCAATTCGCGGTGAGGAGTCTGATCGATGTTGCCGACGAATAAGATATCGATTTACAAATGCCCTCGTCTGCGAAATGAGATGCAGGATATACGTCTTTATTCCTCCAGGTCGTCTGTTCGATTTTCCCATCGGTCACAAACGAGAGCTCGAACTTTCCTCCTCAAATTCTCGCCGCAAAGATCGACGTAACGGGCGAAGAAATTAAACGACCCAAGGTCCAACTTCGCCATCCGCGGTGCGATATACCCGATCAATCTCCACTTCATCCTTTTAAATCGTCCGCGTTATTTCCGAGTGTTTAATTGCAAACGGGAGCTCGCACTTCTTCTTCGAATCCTCGTCGTGAGAATCGACGTGACGAGAGAGAGGCTCGGGCCAAGATGCAATTTCGGCCCTCGATTTCCCCCGAGATAAATTCCCGTTCAGCTTCTTTCCTTCGCGCGCGCGGTTCCCGCGGGGGACGGTCGAGAATCGATCGCGGTCGATCCTCGATTCGCGAGGCGTCCCGGACTCGCGGCGCGAATTGCGGCGCGAATCTCGCTCGCGCCCGTATTGCGATAAGGATCGAGCGGGCGAGCGAGGCGATAACGGGTAAACGATAACGGGGCGGACGAGTGGAAAGAAAGGGGTATTTGGGTCCCGGTGGCTGGCAGTTGCGGCGACGCACGCGTCGCGGCCGATCGCTGGCTCCATCGCCGCTCCGTCCTCGTCCTCGTCGTCGTCGTCGTCTACGACTCTATAACGTGCTCGCCTGGACAGGCGCGCACTCCCTCGCGTCGTCGCAACGTGAAAAATCCCACACGGATACGCGGACACGGACAGGTGCGCGCGTGGCGAGGAAGAGGTGAGAGGCCGGTCTTCTCGGTTGCGCGTTCCGGACGGGCGTTGCGTGTTATTTGTACTCGCCGGCGTGTACTCGCTCGTAACGTTACGGTATTGACGCGTATATATATACCGCTGTACAGGGTGTCCCGAAAACCGCCGACGAGCTTCGGCCGGAGAGTTGTAGAAAAGAAAAAAAGAAAAAAAAGAGCGGAACGAAAAGAGCTACTTTCGCCGCGCCTTACATCCCGATTAGTCCCGATATCCGCGCGAAACCTGTTGCGCTATCACGCTCGTCTGTCGCGACGGTTCTCAGGACGCGAAACGAGGAATTACCGTTGCGTAATTACCTGCCGCTCGACTCTCGCGACGTCAGTCCCGTTTATCTCCGCGCCGTTTTGCCGCTAATTGCAGGCGCGATAAGCGGCGGTTTATTGAGTAAGCATCGACCCGGACGATCGAAACAATTAACCTCGGGGAAGAAAGAGGAGGAGAGAGTTGTCCCCCAGCTGGTGCCGGTGCACCGTGGAATAAATGTCAAACGTTTAGGGACCCGGTAAAGCACTCTGGTACGCCCGTCTCGCCACGGAGCGAATGTAAATTCGCCGTGCGCTGCTAATTAGCCGGCGGAGCGAGGCGAGATTTAATGAAGGAAAAGAACTCTCGCGCGCGTTTATTCCATTTTTTTTCATCTCTAACCGTCGATTCGCGTCGCGAATTTCGCAATTTCTAATCACGTGGCTGCCGGCGCACGCCGGCGATTAAATGGCGAGCGAGCTCGACGGGGATCACGACGCGATCTCCTTCTGGACTCGATCGGGATGATTGACCGCAATCGGAGACAATTGGAATGACGATATTGCGCCGTCGTTGACAATTTGCATTGTCGTAGGAGAGAATGGTCGTTTACGAAATCCGCGATAGCTTAGTCAGAGATTGCGACGCGACCAGCCAACGACCCGCAAGTCGAGTCTCGCCCGCGTGGCGTTTGTGCAGAAGCGACCTGCTATCGTAGATTTTTACGTAGAATTTATTTGAAGTCACTGTAAAGAATTTATTGCGGAAAACACCAGGGACTCGACCACGAATCTTTTCTTCTAGCGTGAACTCGTGAAAGGTGAAAAATTTCGTGAACGAGTTCAATATTCGTCACTGAAGTTTTTCACTTTTCACGACTTCACGCTGGAGCAAACCAAATTCACGATCAAACCCCAGGGTTTGAATCTGAACCTCCCCCAATCCGTGACGGGTGTCTTTACCAGTTCGACTACCGAGGCTGTTTTTCTCTTTCTGGAAAGAAAGACTCAAGGAAGTAACAAGGCGCTGTCGTGAAACTTGAGTGAATTCTTGACTCTTAATACGATAAGAGATTGTCGCGTCGTCGCAAATGTGTTCATTTCTCGCGCATGCTGCGGTTATCGAAATCGGATTAATCGAAATCGGACCGGTTCGAGTTCTCGCTCGCCGCTATTTACGGCCGGAAGAAAGCGCGCGCTGAGATAACGTGAACAACGATTGCGTCACGTTGGGATATGAAATTAAAATTTGAGTATAAATAACGAAAGACCGTTCGCGAATGACGCAGACGGTTTTGCCATAATTTCCCTGCCGTGCTATCCTCATTGCGTAACGCAAGAGCGACGTTTTTCCAACGCAGTCGCGTGACGGCAGACACAGTCGCGCGGCTTTTGCCGATGGTTCAGATGAGCGCGTGCGATGAAATATTACGGACTGATGAAAACGACAGATAGAATTAGAAGGGGAATGCAATATTTTTTCAACTCGGCGTGACACGACAAACGTCGGGCTCGATTGTATTATTGCTCGGAACCTCGGAATCCCGCGGTTTCCAAGTAGCGAGACTGACGTTACTTGTCCACTTTAAACGGCGTTGAAATGACGACAAGTAATATTAGCTCGCTAGCTGAGTTTATCTCAAATTCTCAGACAGCTGGCTTTACTTGCCGTCGCATTAACCGACGTTAAATGACGAAAAACAATGTTAACTCGCTAGCTGAG